GGCCACGTCACTTTGGGCAAAATATACAGCTCAGATTAGATTAGCTTAAAAAAAAAAAATTGAATTTCATTAACACAGCAAAACAGAGCTTTCCTTCCATATCTCTCATTCACTTTTTCCCTCCCTCTTGAGCTCTGGTGAACAACGAATCCATCTTGTGACACTGACGGCGGCGAGTCCAAGTCGGCGACAAATATTGACAGTCACTCCCTCTGTCTTACTCCGAAGATTTCAACCACGATCCCTTTTGAGCTCTGGTGAACGATGACTCCATCTCGTGACACCAACGGTGGCAAATCCAAGTCAGCAGTGAACATCGATGGTCTCTCCCTCTCTCCCTCTGTCTTACTCCGAAGATTTCAACCGCGATTTCAGCCGCAAACCAAAGTTAAGGCAATATGTTTTTTCCCGTTGTTTCCCCTAAATAATCTACCATTTTCAAAACTTGAACAATGATGTGTGTTTCCTATAATAACCTGTCATTTTTCTCGATTTTCCCCCAAATAATCTGCCATTTTCTAGATGTTATTGATCTTGAATTTGTGTGCAAAGTGGTAAATGTAGCCATTATCTGCCATTTTCAGATGTTATTGATCTTGAATTTGTGTACAAAGTGGTAAATGTAGCCATTCTTGTGTGATTAAAGAGGAAAACACCTATATAATTAATGGCCATGTACACCAGTGCGCTCATGCACTAAAAGATTAAGTCACATTGAATTATAAAGAAAACATAAATGCAGGGGTGTCATCAGTTAGAACCAATTCCAATGGCAGGAATTTTTTTTTTTTTTTTTCCTTTTGTTTTAAGGTTTTGATCATCCTATCCAAATATATCATCATTAACCTTTCCAATTAGTAATTAGAATTGGTTTCTTTATTAATAGTCAACAGTCACAGTGGCCAATGTCACTTATAATAGGAGGAAAAAAAAAAAAAGAAAAAAACTTATAACAAGGAAGTAATAGTGAAATGGTAGGCTTGTTTCCTCTAAAAAAAACCCTATTATTATTGTGTATTGATACTTCTCCCATTTCATTGCCTTTACTTTTCAGTTGCGTTTTTATATGGATATGGAACCTGACAATGATTGTGGTTGGAAGCCAAAAGAAGGAATGACCTTTGATTCGGAAGAAAATGTGTATGATTTTTATAATGCATATGGAGGAAGAATGAGATTTAGCATAAGAAGAGAATATTGTAAAAAGAACAAGTTTACGAAACAAATTATTTTTAGAAATTTTGTTTGCAACAATGAGGGATTTTGGAAGGTTGACAAGCGAGATCCATTGACAAAAACCCCTAGAGCTAAAACTAGGATTGGTTGTGAGGCCCGACTTTTTGTTAAATTGGATGTCAGTACTGGGAAATTTGTTGTGATTGATTTCAAAAAAAAAACACATTCATGAACTTGTATCTCTTGATTATGCCCCTATGTTGCCATCGCAAAGAAAGATATCAGCTGTCCAAGCAATTCAGTTAGACTTAGGCCTCGTTTAGCAAGTGGTGATTTTAACCAAAAAACTAAAAAGTCAGTAAAAAAATCAAAAAACCAATAACTTATACCAAAAAGTCAAAGATTCTCTTTTTTTTTTACTTTTTGTACATGTTTTCGTTAAAAATCAAAAAGTCATCCTAAACATACTAGTTTTTTTTACATTATATTTTAGTAAAAAAGTCAAAATGTTACTAAAAAGTTTGTTCCCAAACGAGGACTTAGCCTCAGAGTTTGGTCTTTGTTTAGGGTAGTCTTTTGAACTCATGGATAGGGAAGCTGGTGGGAGGCAATCTGTAATGCCCCAACCCTTCACATGTTGTTGATATTATCCGTTTTGGGCCACGCCCGCACAGATTTGTTCTTCCCAGTGGGTCACCCATCCTAGAACTACTCCAGCCTAAGCACGCTTAACTGTGGAGTTTTGCTAGGAATTTCACCACCCGGAAAAAGGCCTCGATACTATATAAGGGTCCAAGTTTTTACTTTTATAACTCAGGAACTCCCCCTCCATTCCCAATGTGGGACACTAGGACCTTACAATCCACCCCCCTTAGGGCTGCACGTCTTCGTGCATGTGACAACCCTCACCACTGTTTACTGATAAATCACTGATTACTGTTAAACTGAGACTGATTATGATAATTGACTGAATTAACTGAAATCACTAAACTGATTGATTGATTGTGCTAGTTTGAATGCATATCTATCTGTTGACTATTAAATTATCTGTTCGTGTTTTATGCTTTAAACTACAAATTGAAGGCCTTATCGGCGGCCGAATCTGAAATTGATTAGTGATATGTGTTAATCATAATTCATGTGATTTTATGGCATATTTATTTGAAATGTGATTTGGTATGATTTAATTAGATTAAATAAGTATAAATTGCAATAATTGGCTTAATTACCAACATGCCATCCTAGTGGGCCACTACACCAAACATATTGAGACTTGATTACACTTAGACACACATTTGCTCATCCATTTGTTTTCCTTGCTATAGCCGACTAGAGAGAGTGATAGAAGAGAGAGCTTGATGTCATCTCATATTTGCTTGGAGACTTAGAGAAATTGTAGGAAGATTGCAAGAATAGAACTTCCATACCTTAAATTGAAGACTTAGGTAAGGAATTCAACCTCTTAATTGTGTCTTTAAGTTGGTTCTTGCATGGTTCATGTCATATTGAAGAGCTAAGTCATGAATTGGTTCTAGCATATTGAATTGTAGCATATATCATGCATGCATGTTGCCATTCTTGAGTTTTGAAGTTATTGTTCATGAAATTTTTCATGCATGTCCATATTTTTGCGTTGGACCATGAATTCATCTTGTTTTTGGAGAATTAGCTCATTAGAGCATGTAATTGAAGCTTTGAATTGGTTTAAACTCATGCATGTCATGTTTGAGTTATGTTCATGAAAATTGGTTTGAAATTGGATTTAATTGAACTACCTTTGGGCTTTGATTTCTCAAATTGATCTTTGAAACATGTTATATTATAGGTTTTGAAGTGTTTTCTAGAAAATTAGCCCAAAATGATCGAATTTGGTACATTGAAACTTAGTTTTGAGCTTGAGGTTCGAATCTGGAATTTCCAGAATTTGGACTTCTGCTCAAGTGGGGTTACTGGCGCTCGAGCGGGAAAAACGTGTTTCCAGTACTTTACACTGTTTTACAGTCCGCTCGAGCGGGGTATTGGATGCTCGAGCGAGGACTTGTGTCACACGCTCGAGCGAGTATCGAGCGCCCAATCGAGCGTGATTTTCACACATCCAGTACTTTTGCAGTCCGCTCGAGCGGGAAAGCTTACGCTCGAGCGGGGACTTTTGTTTGCATGTCTGCTCGAGCGGGGTAAGTGACGCTCGAGCGGGAACTCTGTTTTCTGAAAATATTTTTAAAGTGCATCTTTGCATCCTCATTCCATTCTAGGCATTCTTAGGCCTAGTTTAAGGCATCTTAATGAGGATATTGATGTAGAGCCACACCGAGTCAAGATAGGGATTAAGTTATTGTTTCCCAATTGTGTAGCTTAGTGTGTGTTCATTCTGTAACTGTGTAGGATTAGCATCCGAGGACGCGTACTAGCTTATCTGTAGCCCAGAACTCTGGGAGTAACAATGTTGTAAAGATATGTTCGAAAATGAATACTTTCTGAATGATCAATTGAACTGTTTTTTGAACTGTTTACTGTTAACTGAATGAATGTTTGTCCTCTATTCTGAACTGTATTGTGGCATCCTTAGCAACTACTGTTATTGTTACTGCTACTGTTATAGAGATCTCTGTCAGTTCCTATTTTGGAACTTCTGTTTACTGTTATGATGGCCATCATTGACTGTTCAGTCTTTCAAGACCTACTGTTTGCTGTACTGTTCTGCTAATGGATGTACCACATATAACTGTTATGACTGAATGACTGATACACTGAATCAATTAACTATTTTCAATATTGAAAGGACATTCATTCTAAACCTCTTTACGCATTATGTTATTCACTGGGCTTTAGCTCACTGCTCATATATATATGTAGGTGTACAGGCACTGGACCGTTGCTAGAAGCGTCAGGGTAAACTCCAGTTTTGTCAAGCCAACCTTTGTGCCTCACTTCGAGGTTCCTGATCTGTTCAAGCTGAGGCTGCTTGGGGAGTTTTAGATTTTCCCTTTTTGCTTATAATCTGTATAGACTGAATGTTATTGTACTGTACCGTTCTAATAGGGATTAAGTCCCTATCTTGAATGATTGTACATACTGTTTTGTTTCTGAATGTGAATCTATATGAAAAGTCTTTTTGCATACAGATTGTCACAGCTCGTTGGACATTGTCTATTTACTGTTTTGGCTTCCGCCATGCCCCTGTACTCTGTATTATTGTTTAACTGTTAAGCAGGCCTTCGGTAATCACAGATTACTGGCCGGTTACGGTGCTAAACCCATAGGGGCGGGTTTGGGTCGTGACAGTGCAATAGCCTGCTAGCTCACAAACCCGCACGCATGTACTGAGAGACACCAGGGGCCCACATTTAGTACTCAAGAGAGTCAGCTCTGATATCATTTGTTACACCTCAACCCTTCATATGTCATCGATATTGTCCGTTTTGGGTCACGTCTGCACGGGTTTGTTCTTTCCAGTAGGTCACCCATCCTAGAACTACTCCAACCTAAGCACGCTTAACTGGGGAGTTCTACTAAGGATTTCACCACCCAAGAAAAGGCCTCAATACTATATAAGGATCCAAGTTTTTACTTTTATAGCTCAGGAACTCCCTATCCATTCCTGATGTGGGACACCGGGACCTCATACAATCTCTTAGGTTTATGAAATTAGATCAAAAAAATTACTTGAGAACCAAAAGGCAAAAAAGTTTAGCATATGGGGAAGTAGGTAATGTGTTGCAATACTTTCATCAAAAATCTTTGCAGAATCCATCTTTTTTTATGCTTTTCAATTAGATAAAGAGGAGCAAATAACAAATATGTTTTGGGGCGATGCACAAATGATCATGAATTATGCCCAATTTAGTGATGTAGTTACATTTGATACTACCTACAAGTTAAATAAAGAGCATAGGCCATTTGCATCATTTGTGGGATTTAATAATCATAGAGGAACAGTTGTTTTTGGTGCTGCTTTGTTGTATGATGAGATTGCCGAAACATTAATATGGTTATTTCAAACTTTTTTAGAGGCTATGTCAAAAAAAACACCCAAAACTTTGTTTACCAATCAAGATGCTGCAATGGCTAAGGCCATACCCATTATCATGCGTGACATGAGTCACCGTTTATGCACTTGGCATTTAATGCAAAATGCATTAAGGCATGTTAATTGTCTCTTTCAAGATAAGGGGGTGAAATGTGTATTAAATAGATTCATGTTTGATATTGAGGATGAAAATGAATGGAAAATGAAGTGGGGGGAAATGCTTGATACATATAATGCTCATGATAATCATTGGTTGAAGTTAACTTTTGGGGTGAAGGAAAAATGGGGTTGGCCATATGTTAGATCAACATGGGCTACGGGAATGAGTTTAACACAACTTAGTAAATCTTTTAATGCGTTTTTGAAGGATTACATTCGTTCTAATTTTAATTTAAACGAATTCTTCATGCATTTTGAAAGGGTACTTTGTGAGAAGTGGTACAAAGAGTTAGAAACTAGTTACGCTTTGTGCCAAAGGTTGCCAAGGATGAAAGGGCCATTCATACTGTTAAGTCAAATGGGCAATGTGTACACTAAAAATATTTTTGAGGAGTTTCAAGATGAGTATTTTCTTTCTGTTGAATCAGATATACAAGCAATTGAATACGGTAATGGTTGTAGCCTATACACAATTGTTTATTCTAGTGGGAAAAATGCAAGGAAAGTGAAAATGGAGATGAATTGCTCCTTGGCTTGTAGTTGTGCAAAGTTTGAAAGGAAAGGGATTTTATGCAGTCACTATTTGAAGGTTATGAGAGAAATATTGTAGCTGAATTTGTATTGGTTTGCTGCTTTTTTTGGTCAATTTTTGTGCTGAAATTAATGTTGTTTGTTGCTGCTGAAAATGGTGTTGTTTTGCTACTGTTTTGCTGTTATTTTATGCTGGAAAGTTCTGCTAAATTTGTGCTGTTTTGGTGCCTTTTTTTGTCAATTTTTGTGCTCAAATTATTGCTATTTGTTGCTGCTGAAATGATTATGTTTTGGTGCTATTTTGCTGTTATTTTGTGCTATAACTGCTGCGGTTTGTTGTCTCTGATGCTACTGTTTTATTTAAAAATATATATATATTAAGGGTTTGGATGGCCACAAAGAGGTGGAAAGCAATTCAAATTTCAAGCATAAGAGATGAATTGTTTTTGAACTTTGCTGCTGCTTTTTATGCCTCATAATCTACTAACTGTTTTGTTTTTTGTTCATGTTCTAGTCCACTTGTAGTAAAACATGGGGCTTTTAGAGTCAACATGTAAAGATGAGTGCATTTGGATTGTTGTAAAATTTGAGCAGCATTTGAGCACTTGGATTCTTGTAGAATTTAAGATGTGTTTGTTAAACAATCAGGACTAAGGAATAATATGTACTTCATTTTTTGTGTGCAATGCATGCCTATTAAGAGGCAGAGGCAAAATCAAATTTTTTCCATTTGAGTAATAACAAAGAATACGAGTCACTATGTAGGTCCAATGTGTTCCATGTGAGGCAATCTTTTTTTTTTTTTTAACAAAGAATGCAGGTTACTATTTACAAAAGGGGATATTCCCTTGCATAACCCTCTATGATTTGGTATAACACTCATATCAGCTCCTTTTAACCTATACATTAGCAAGCATATGATGCTGTTACAATTAGAGAAGCAGCCCACAATATAAGACAAGCCATTACATTCAACCCTTAAACAAATAAATCATTACCACTTCATTAAACAAAAAAAGCCATTACATTTATTACCACTTCAACAAAATGATAGTGGTCCACTATACATTACATACACATTCAACCTACAATACAATTCATACTCATTCTACCCTACATTACATATACTATTTCAAATACACTAGAATGACAGCTACCATCAACAACAGAACAATAAAAGCAAAGGCATAATTCAATTTATCACCAACTCTTCAATCACCATTGCTAAGTCTCTATATTGTTTCCTACTCTTCACAGTCATGTCTTTGAGCTCCCTATTCAAGATAATTACTTCTCTAAGAGTAGACAAGACATCCATGCATTCTTCAAGAATATCATTCTTGACCATCTTCAAATTATGCTGCATATGTGGAGGGATCCACCACTCAAAGAACTTACAGCCATTCGGCGAATGGGGGCATACAAAATATAAGCAATTTGGGTTATCCGTTGACTGAGAAATCTTAACCATAGCTTTGCTGCCACATCGACAATTGCGGTTGTCCAATCTAACTTTATGAATGCTGTCCATATTTGCATTTGACGTTGACATTGACATTGACCTACAAAAAAATATCAAATAGCAAAACTCGTTATAATGTCAACCAACCTCCAAAATTTAGCAAAGAGCATCAGCAAATTAGCGGATTGACATTTTTGCACAGTCATCAACTTTCTCCTGAATTGGATGAAAATAGAAAATTTTAATTACAAAATGAAAACATATTTACTTGGTGCATGGAACAGACTAACCTCAATGAAGAGATAATTAGGATAAAAAAAACAAGAGGATCATCATTCGAAAGCACTTCCAAACTCTATTAACATCTCTCAGGAAAATTTCCTTAATTCAACCATAGAAAAGCACATCAAAATGACCTAGCTAGATTTCTATAACTTTTGCTAGAGAGTCCAACCCATCAAAAAGATGTTCTTACTTCTTTTTTTCTTTTGCAATCTCAGTTTTTTTTTTTCTAACACAAAAAACAGCCTTCGATGAATGTAGAACAGACAAAAGCATCACTCAAAAAGTGCACGGCCCAACCAATAGGGGCAACATAGACCATTTAAGGTATATCAAATAAAAAAAACGTCACACAAGAATGGCTACATTTACCACTTTGCACACAAATTCAAGATCAATAACATCTGAATATTATCCATAACTTAGTTTTCTACTTTGTTACCTACAATTTGCCTAACTCTGCCCACTGAAGCTCTATTTCCAATAGTTGCATTAATACCTAGCCCATCTGATATATGAGTGTTCCAGCCTCCATGACAAGTTTTTACCCTATTTGATAAATCATTTGAGAACATCATCACTTCAACTACATTCTCCATTTCACTAAACGTTTCAACCCAAAATCACCCATGACTCCAATATGTTGATGATCCACAATAGAACAAAGAAAACAAGTTGCTAGAATTTGAACAATGAGCTTTGAAATTGGTAGATTATTTGGGGGAAACAACGAGAAAATACATATTACCTTAACTTTGGCTCGCGGCTGAAATCTTCAGAGTAAGACGCAGAGAGAGAAAAGGAGAGACCGTCGATGTTCACTACCGACTTGGATTCGTCGCTGTCGTGGTCACGAGATGGAGTCGTCATTCACTAGAGCGCAAGAGGGATCGCGGCTGAAATCTTCAGAGTAAGACAAAGGGAGAGAGGGAGAGACCGTCGATATTCACCGCCGACTTGGACTTGCCGCCGTCGGTGTCATCAGATGAAGTTGTCATTCACCGTAGCTCAAAAGGGAGGGAAAAAGTAAATGGAAAGATACAGGGGGAAGCTCTGTTTTGCTGTGTTAATGAAATTTAAATTTATTTATTTATTTAAGCTAATCTAATCTGAGCCGTATGTAGGTGCCCAAAGTGACGTGGCCAAATTCTAACCATTGATCGAATGAAGGGTTGAAGAGGATGGCTAGAGAGGATCTGGACTCGTCTCTAACATTACTCTTATAAGTTTTTTGACATTGTTTAATCATTAATGACGGTTGAATAGGACCACTTGCTTTGCATAGATTGGGCATACAGGCATTCTGTTCAATTTCAATGGAAGAGCATGCTATTTGTTTACATCTATTAGTTTGTAAGCACAACTCTTAAGTGATAAAAGAAATATGACGAATTACACCAACAATTTCTATAATTTAGAACTCATATTATTTTGGTTTTTAATATTTCAGTTGTAATATATTTAATCCTAAATTTTAAATCTTGTTCCAAATAAGAATAATTGAAAATATTGTTACTCTATTTCAAAGGCAAAGTTGTCAATTTGATAAAATATAAACTAGTTTGATAAAAATAATGTGAAAAAAATTATTTTTAAACTTTTAAAAATTATTTCTACTCACCAAAGATAAAATTATATAAAAATGATAAATCTTTTACATTTTTATTTTTTTTACCAAATTAATTTTTAGTATGAGTTTGGATAATGATCATGTAATAGTTGGTTGTTTTTGTCAATATTTTTTTATGGTTATCACAAATAAATGGTTGTATTTGTTGTTAATAGATATTTTTAGATGATTATCATATAATGAATGATTATTAGTCTTTTAATGTATAATCGATATGTTTAATATATAAAATGTTTTTAATTTTAGATTTTTTGATTTAATAATCACATCAAAATTGTCGGCATGTTTGACTTTTGAAAAAATTTAAAAATAAATTATTTTTATATAATTTTATCTTATGAGTGGGTAGGAATAAAAATATATATATTTATTTTCGTTAAATTAATTTCTATTTTTTCAAAAATCAATCATGGTGATAATTTTGATATCATTATTAAATCAAAAAATCCAAAAGTAAAAGCATTTTATATATTAAATATATCGATTACACATACAAGCCTAATAATCATCCATTATATGATAATCATTTAAAAATATCTGTTAACAACAAATATAATCATTTATTATATAATAACCATAAAAAAAATCAACAAAAACAACCAATCATTACATGATCATCATCCAAACATATACTAAAAATTAATTTGATAAAAAAATAAAAATATAAAAGATTTATCATTTTTATATAAATTATCCTTAGTGGGTAGAAATAATTTTTAAAAATTCAAAAATAATTTTTTCACATTTATTTTCGTCAAACTAGTTTATATTTTATCAAATTAACAATTTTGCCCTTAAAATAGAGCAATAATGTCTTCAACTGTCTTTATTTGGAACAAGATTCAAAATTCATGATTAAATGTATCACAATTGAAAGGTCAGGGATCAAAATGACACAATTCTCAAACTACAGGAACCGTTATGCTGTGTTTCGTTGAGGGATTTGGAGAGGGTTTTGGAAATGGAAAAAGAAAAAGTGTGTAAAACTAGGTGAAATGTAGATATATTTTATTCTCATTTCAACTATCTTTTCTCTTTTCTTTTCTAAATCCATTCCCAAATCCATAATCAAACAATGTGTTGGTATAATTCACCCAAAGAAATAAGAATTCATCTTCTTTCTTTTTTAATACCTTCCTCGCATATGTATAAGATTGAATCCATTCAATCTTAGGGAATTGACTGGTAAATCCCCTTTTTTGAACTTATGGTGTGGATGGTCCCAAATGTTTTCTTATGCACCACTTGGTCCTCATGTAAATTGAATGACTATAATGCCATTTAGTGTAAACCGTATAGGGGTTTGACAAATGTAACGGATGAATGTGGTGTGGTGTCACGTTGATAGAAGTTGAAATATAGGAACGAGACTTACGGCGACCCGACCCGTTAACGTTTGAAATCCCCAAATTGGAAACACCACCTATTTGGTATATAAATGAATGTTGCCCTAAAATTAAGGGGTGAGAATCGGTGGTTCAAAATTTGAATTCAGTTAATCGTTCCCCATGGTAGAGATTTGGTGTGGCTGTACAAAGATTTGGTGATTTAAAACGTTGCGTCTAGATTTCCTTTGGTGTTTCTACAGTTTTGGTTTGGGATAAACCCTAAAGAGTGGTGCGACGTGACGACGTTACGACTTTACGGGAAGATTACGTCGGAGGAATATCTTATTCGCACTCGTTAACGATGACTGGTAAACGTAATTACCTGATTTTGTTTACAGAATTTATGATTCGATTCTTGTTTACAAAACGTATTCACACTCATCGACGTTGACTGTATTCCACTGTTGTGGTTGTTGATATTGGTTGCGTATGACATGTGTAAGTGCTTATTATGTTGGGCGAATCAGTAGGTTGTAGTGTGTCGTTGTTTTGGTGGGTTGGTGTGTGGTGTCGTTATAAGAAAGACCAACTGAATTTCCTATTAAAACTTGCGTGTGGTGGGGTGTGTTAATAATGTAGTGTGTGTGTTTGTGGGGAATCCATGTTGTTTGATGTGGTCGACATTAAAATGTTAACTTGTCAGTGAGATGTGTGTGGGGCATTAATCTACAGCGTTGTGTGGCTATTGATGTTACGTTGGGTGGAAGGGTACGCGAGTGTTGTCACGCATTTAAATTCGTAGTGAGTTGAAAGGGAAATTTTTGTGGGGTTCCGCCATGGTTTGCATGTGGGCATCTTTAAATTACGATGTGTTACGTTAGGTGGATGTTGGTATGTCCATTTCGTTATAACTGTGTGATATGTACTTTGCGTACATTAAAAAGTCAAACTTTAATATAAAATGTTATGTGACAATATCGTAATGTTGTTCTTGTTGCTGGTGGGACGTGGTTACTTCAATGTTGTGTTTTAATAAGTATGTGCTACTGTGAAGAGTCTTATTGTTGTAAACCGTGTGTGTGTGGTGTTGACATGTTATAATATTGTAATGTAGTTTCGAAGAGATTGTGTTTGGAACGTTACGCTTATGAAACTGATATTTGATTTGATGTTCGAAATGCAGGGGTTAGGACGACAAACAGTCCATAGACGCGTTCATGTGAGCGTAAACGTCAAGATGCAGCCAACAAAACAATGGCAAACGAACTTGGGGTATGTAGGCAACGACGGATCTTGTTCAAACAGACAAAAATTGTTAATCGTCCAAGTGTCACACCGAAGCTTAACCGTACGAGGCTCAACTTCCGATCGAACATTGCAGGCATTGTGAAGTTGGTGTACATGCTGAATCTGCGAGACGAACACCTTGTTCACCTTAAAAAAACACCGTTTTGGTTGATGTTTGAAGCAATTTTGATAAACCAACTTGACCACGCGGAGTTCCGTAAAGGGGATGACTTGGTGGTAAATATTATCCAGGCGTACAATGCACGGGACGGGACGTTTCGCGTTGGAGGACGAAGCATGTGCATAAGCGATGATGACATCAAGTTAATATTTAGGATCCAATGTGGGTTTGGTAGCATTGATTTGACCCCCCGACTTAAGCCAACGTCCGACTTCGTACAACGTAGGTGTCTTAACAGTACTCGTATAACCTCAAAACTGATATAGACCCTACTAGTCGAAGCTGCGGAGGGCAGTATTGCTCGTGATGTGGAAGACACTGCGAAGTTGCTATGCTTATATGCCTGTGGGAAATTATTCTTCTCAAATTCTGGGGAAACAATCAGCTGGGCTCTAATTCGATATGTGGATAATTTGAATGCAATGAAAACGTACGATTGGACGGGGGCAATCCGTAGCTCGTTGATGAATTCGGTTAGGGACTTCTATCGAACACCTGAAAAAGTCACCGAATGTGTCGTCGCATTGATGGTACGTTTGCTTGTAATTTATTTGTTGGGTGTGCCATTAATTGCAAGTGATTTATTTATGTTGTATTTGGTGTAGTCATGTAGCTAATTTGGACGTTATTATTTGTTATGTGTGATGTGGGGTACAGCAAGAGAACAACGAAACCCTACTTTGCTAACTCACAATAAGCCTTCAGCCCGACCCACGAATTTGTCACACCCGAAAACATAGGATCGAACTTGCCAAACGTGACAGAGCAACGTATCCCACAAATATTCACTCAATCCCACAATACACGTACATGCCAATAACCAAAAAGGGCAAATCAGTCTACCCACACCTCACATAATTTAAAACGGGACTTGGTTGTCTACCAAATGTGCAAAATAGGACTTGCCAATCCAAAAGATTCAATTTAGGACCATAAAGGGTAACAGTTTGGTACATAGGACTTTCTGATAATTTTTCCTTATTTTTTTGTACATCATTTTGTAAAAAAATAAATAATATATTTATTTAGATCCTTCAAAACCCTCTTTAAATTTTATGTTTAAATTATTGTACATATATTACAATAATATATGGTCGGTCTTAAAGATTGAAGGGAAAATTATTAGAAAGTCCTATGTACCAAACTGTTACTCTTTATAGTCCTAAATTGAATCTTTTGGATTGGCAAGTCCTATTTTGCACATTTGGTAGACAACCAAGTCCCGTTTCAAATTATGTGAGATGTGGGTAGACTGATTTGCCCTTTTTTGTTATTGGCATGTACGTGTATTATGGGATTGAGTGAATATTTGTGGGATACGTTGCTCTGTCACATTTGGCAAGTTGGATCCTATGTTTTCGGGTGTGACAAATTCATGGGTCAGGCTGAAGGCTTATTGTGAGTTAGCAAAGTAGGGTTTCGTTGTTCTCTTGCTGGTGGTCAGAGCTGCTGTAGTCGTCAACATTGGTTATCATTGCAGGTACGTAATACGTTTATATCTTTTTCATAGTTAACACACCATTGCCCTGCAGAGGACGTCTGTCCATGATCACGTTTGTACATCATTCACACTGTCCACAATTGTTCTACTTATGTTGTCATCGTGATGTATCTACCTGTGATTTTTTCCCTCCCCCCACCGTCCGTGTGGGGTGAGGGGATTCAGTTTTATTTAAGTTCATTATTGTATTGATTTTGTTTGGTACATTTTTTGTTTTTTTTTGACATGTATAACATGTGTTTCACCCATGTCAGTGTCTGTGCTCGTAGGTATGGAAGGGGCTTTGATGTTGCTGTGTTCTTATCGGAACATTAACGTAGCCTACAATCTCCGGGATCATGGCACGTTTGCCGAATTAGTTGATTTTCTGTGTTCCAAGTTCAGCGAGATAGGTCCCTATAACGTGGGATTGTCGTACAAGATTCTAGGTTTAAACAGTTTTACTTTACAAGATGATGTGGATTTGGAAAACCTTGTTAGTCTTGCCCGATCGTTCGGATTGGAACACGTTTGTGTGTTGGTTGATCAACATCGAAGGTTGGATAGCGTAAGTGCGTACAGCGAACAACATAATATGCAACCCAACCCGGTGTCCGGAATAATCATTAATGACCAAGGAGAAAGTGATGATGAGGTTGATTTGTTGCCTGATTTCTGCCCGCACAAGAATAAAGTATTACTGACTGAATCATGGATGCGGGGGTTAACCCATGTAGGGCAATGCTTTGAGGGGGGTGCACACGAATTTCGTACGGTTTTGTACAAGTATGCCGTAGAGTTTGGGTTCAATTTCAAGTATGTTAAGAACGATTCCGTATGGGTAACAGCAGTGTGCTCCATGGTAGAGGATAAGGGATACACGTGGTCTGTACATGCTCGGGTGTTAAAAGCGAATCAATTTTTCTACCTTCGCAAATGGAACAGTGTGCATAGTTGCGGTGTATCCGTCCGGACATCAAATCATCCAAGGGTTGGATCTGATATGGTTGTTGATATTATGGCTGCTCGTGTTTGGGATAGACCACTCACACGTCCAACTGATGTCATATTAGATTTGAAAGATGATTATGGGTTGGACGTCAACTACTGGGTTGCGTGGTTAGGGGTTGAGAAGGCAAGGAGGACATTGTTTGGCGCCCATTCCGTATCACTCGACCAATTGCGTTGGTATCGTGAAGCTGACATGCAATACAATCCTGGGAGTTATGTTGACATCGATTACGATGAACACAACTACCGGTTCCAACGTTTTTTTATTTCATTCAAAGCATGCATTGATGGGTTTCGTCATTGTCGTCCATTACTTTTCCTGGACGGAACCTTCTTGAAAAGCAGGTTCAAAGGGTTTTTGCTAGCTGCCACCGCGAAGGACGGTAATCAAGGTGTGCCCTATTTCATTTTGAAAACATTGTATTTTTATGGTTTAATATATTGCACACGCTAATCATGTTGTCATCATTTATAATAGGGTTGTTCCCGCTTGCTTATGCCATTTTGGACTATGAAAATAACACGAATTGGGGTTGGTTCTTACAACATCTTGCCAACGTGGTACCCAGTGGTAGGACACTCACGTTTGTGTCTGACCGAAACGTGGGACTTATGGAAGCAATGCCTACATTTTTCCCCATATCTCACCATGCATTCTGCCTCCAACATTTACAGAGAAATCTGCGGGACAAACTACGATTCGTGAACAGCATGCATCGGATTGGGCTTGTCAGCAAATTACGTAAGTGTGCATACGCACCAACCATAACAACATTTAATCAAAAGGCCGACGAATTTCAACAATCTGGAAAAGTCATTGCTACGAAATTCCTTGCAGATGCACATCGACAGCACTGGGCGAATGCATTTTTCAGGAATGGATATTTCCGTTACGCAACATAAACATGAACATACCCAACAACAAACGAGCATGCTTTATTGTTTACTTTTTTTATCCCCTTGGGTTTTGCAGAGGTAGACGATACGGCGAAATGAGCTCCAACGCCGCCAAGTCATTCAACTCTTGGATTTGCGAAGCACGGAATCTACCAATCACCAGAATGGTTGATAGCATCAGAAGTCAGATTATGCGACAAATGGCGAAGCGGAGGGTGTCAGCCCACACATGGACTGGCGCCATTTGTCCCAAAAATGGAATCCCGGCTGGAAGAAGCTTACAACAAAAGTCGGGCATGGAAAGTGAGTCAGGCAAATAACGACGTGTACGAGGTCCATTCATTCCCATCTGTTATGGTGGACATCAGCAAACATACATGTTCGTGTTTTCAGTGGCAAATAAATGAGTTTCCATGTGCGCATGCTATTATTGCAGTGCGAAAAAATGGGAAAAACCTTAACGACATAGTCGTACCTTGGTACCATGTGTCCGAATACCGTTTGACGTATGCGCCCACCATCTACCCAATACCAACAGTTGAAAAACCACCTTTCAACCCCACCGACTACGTCATTTACCCACCAAACGTCAAACGTCCGACCGGGAGGCCGAAGAAGAAGAGAATACCGTCTAAATGTGAGAATGTGCAACAAATACGGTGTGGAAGGTGTGGTCATATGGGGAACCACAACAGGAAGACCTGCAAAGAACCTATTTAGACGTAATCCCAGTACGTCGATATCCCACTTTATATTAGTGCGTTTTAAGTGGTTGTGTACTTCATGCATACCATTAAATAAGAATGTGATAATCACATACAGTTCAGTATTTAAATAAGTTATTATATCAATGTTTTTGTTCGCCTATAAATACAATTGGCTTAGAAATTTTGTTATGTTCTATCCGTTAGGCAAATATATTTGCGTACCTTTGCTTAAGCCGTATTTTAATTTCATCATAGTTTTGTTTTGAACACATGAATGCAGACCGTGCCTACATGTACTCTGCGTGTACGTTCAATACAGCTATTCGCGCACTCTGTTAGTTTACTTACGTATAACCGTACACACAACGACAAAATAATGAAACTCATGGAAAACCACCTTTATTTACAATTACAACAATTACACTGTGACATGCAACTGCACACATACAATACACACCTCACACCTCACGATTTTTCATACACTAGTATACCTTCGCATCACACTCAACTTTATGTATCATACATGACCCGCCATAATGCAAAAAACACACAAATTTGTACATTACATACAACGTATGTCCCACATAAAAATGCTGCCTCCCTAACTTCACTTAACAGTTACTAAAACACCCGTTTATACCACACTACCCCACGTCAACTTCACTACCGTAAAAAAAAAATCATTACAATTTACCAACCACATACTCAACGTCGTACTACATACATACTGACGCAAATAACAGCATCCCACATCACACTAAAACACTGTCATGCATATTGTTAACCCCTTTCACACATTCACACCTAACTGTTTTTCATCCACCACAATGGACTGGAACGTGTGCCTTATTTTAAATAATAAACCAATGTCAGTCTAATTGGGTTGACACATTATCCATCAACTAGTAACATTATACATGAATGAATGTACCAATGCATAACTCAAGGAAAACAACCAGACAACATACTTGCGCACAACCACATCGGTCATCACAATACGCATACATTCCACAGACTTGCAACCAAAACATATCATAATATTTTCCAAAAAATATGCCAGCTAACTGCAGTCAGAATGCTGTACACGCTCGTGACGCGTTAATTCAAGACAAACCATCCAACACACTAACCTAACAATATGAACAAACCATAATCTGTGCTAATAATATAATGGGCATAACCAAAAAGGTAAATACTTGCGCATCGTAGCGCACACAATCTGAAAAACCCATATTCGATGCTAATATTATAACCATATATTAGTATGTGCACCTCTACACACCCTCAACGTTACCCACAACGTGTCAGATGTGTGTATCCTCAATCAGTCCAGCTCGTTCTTCAATCCACGCAGTGGGTCATTCACAAAAGACTTCACCATGATCGCCCGCAATACAATGCAGTAGCCCCCATGCAGCGATCTCCTAACTTCCACATGGCGCACATACTGGCGCATCACAGCACACACAATGATAGCACAATCAAGCCTGTCCAATAATATCACATCGTATGTTATTAATGTCGTAAGTATAAATTAAGACAATTCATGTTCTGTACCAGGTTACGTCATTGTGAAAATAAAAACGTGCTTACGATTCGGGACGTTGTTAGGGACAGTCCACCACTGATTCTAACGACGAGTCATATTCTTGAGTATCAATTGAGTCATTTCCTAAGGTCTCCCTCCGCACCTCTGACACAATGTTTTTCTACAACAACGCATACATACGTCAGCCAACACAATTTTCATATGGACACACACCCATACATTTTAAAATGCACAAATCCTACCAGGGAAAGTGCCTCCATGTAGTGTACGTCCACAATTCCGCTCCTCGTCCTCATCGAGTTAAAATGCTTCCAACTCCCATCCTTAGTGTCATACACGACCAGCGTCCAGTGTGAGTCTTTGCAAAGTGGGAAATGTACATAACGGAAAAGCATTACTGCATGCAGGTTGTCCAGCACATACCTATTCCTTGACCATACGTTGTTGTTCTTCATCATGTCCTGCATCACCATGCAAACAAGTTACACATTATGACATCACATAACCAAACATAACATTCACAGTCACAAACTTACTAGACATATACTACTGAAGAAATAAGATTTGTCTGCAGCATCAATGCCCTCATTCATCCTCTCCTGCTCAGCATTTAGCAGCACAGCATATGCATTGATCACCTGTGACATGTTTACATGTTGGATTCTTGCATGGTTGGAAAAAAAAAAAAAAAAAACACACATTGCATAAATACCCATCTACGCGACGTACATTCCCCCGTATCTCAGATTGGCACACAAGTGATTTCACATCGGTCAAATATACAGTAACACCATGACCCTGCCCGTCCCACATCACAGCACTGCATACAACACACAACACACATCATCCAAAAAACATATGACAGTAGCAACGCTACACCTGCACACTTTGTTTGCACATACCTATCACCATCCCTGTTATATGCGTCGGTGATCTTCTTTTTCTCCGCAGCTGTCATCATTTTCTACACCGCGTGTCTGTTGTTAATGTCAAAGCCCGACTTCTTCTTCCCTTGTACGTCAACATCGTCCACATCAATTACATCCGTGCACTCATTATTTTTGGCATTGCAGTCTACATTACTCGTGAATGAAGGAACATGCACCACGTTCGATTTGCTCGTCTGCCCACTTACACCCAGGCACTCAACCCCCGTCAGTGTTAACCCCTTTCTCCCTTTGCATTTGACATCCCACACGTTTGAATTTTTCCCAAAATTCAACTTACCACCTTCTGCCATGTTTGGACTAATAACCACCACCTCTGTTCCAGCCATTACACCATGCTGCATTTCACTGACACTGTTTGTTTGTTCCCTTACCGGCGTAACATCCCAAACCGGAACTGCATCCCCGGTTACAGCAAACACTCTATTAGGGGTGGTATTGTTTGTAAGGTCTGTAACAGGTTCGTTCTTACTCAACCCATATTTCACACCTTTTACATTCACGTCTACACCACGGAATGCTTGTGTCACGTTATGGACTTCGCGCTCAGTAAGCTGATCCTCTAAAACATTGACTGCCCTTTGCAATTCAGCATTTTCAATGGTGAGTTTCTTCACCTCATCGTCCTTAGCTTGCATTAAGCTACCAAAACCTCTAACAAGATGCAACGTTTGCACCTCATTCGCCTGCCTCAGTCTGTCTACTTCTGCACGTAACTCTGAAATCACAACGTCTTTCTCGATGATTTGCAGTTCAAACTCCACAATTTTCTGTGTAGCGTGGCAAACATGTGGCCTAACGTCCATTATGCGCTTCCCTGCATTTCGTGAAACATTCCTGTTTGGTGTCCGAAAATGGACCGAAGTTGAACCCCGTTCCACATTTCTACCACAAAATCCTCCGTCCCCACCCGTCACATTACCATCCACTCCCATATCAACAAAATCATCCTCATGCACACTACCACCGAATTCCTCAATTGCATTTCCCGCACCCCTAGCGCAGTTTACCCCATTCACCTCAAAAATCTTAACCTCATAGTCTTTCGTATTCAATCGCCCAGCTGTCACCTGTAAACACAACATAACAAATGCGTGAACAATTTCCAAACGATGTCCCGTATAATGCAATCATAACTACCATTTACTATTACCTCAAAATCCACATGCCCTGATAGATTGACCCCATGTGCAGCTGTTACTAATGTGGCAACATCCCACTTCAAAAACCTGGGAAATGAGACTGCAGATACGGGCGATATGATCGTTGAATGTTCACAGAGCTAATACTGTACCCCACATCACACATAACAAATAATAACGTCCAAATTAGCTACATGACTACACCAAATACAGCATAAATAAATCACTTGCAATTAATGGCACACCCAACAAATAAATTACAAGCAAACGTACCATCAATGCGACGACACATCCGGTGACTTTTTTAGGTGTTCGATAGAAGTCCTTAACCGAACTCATCAACGAGCTACGGATTGCCCCCGTCCAATTGTACGTTTTCATTGCATCTAAATTATCCACATATCGAATTAGAGCCCAGCTGATTGTTTCCCTAGAATTTGAGAAGAATAATTTCCCATAGGCATATAAGCATAGCAACTTCGCAGTGTCTTCCACATCACGAGCAGTACTGCCCTCCGCAGCTTCGACTAGTAGGGTCCGTATCAGTTTCGAGGTTATGCGAGTAGTGTTAAGACACCTACGTTGTACGAAGTCGGACGTTGGCTTAGGTCGGGGGGTCAAATCAATGCTACCAAACCCACATTGGATTCCAAATATTAAC